ATTCCTGCTTCAGGGACATCCCTAATCCTACTCATCAGGGATCTTCTGAATAAACTCAGCATTTCTTTCACTCTCGACTTCAAAGTTGTGTTTCTAGATTTTTATCTCTGTTTCTCTTGCTTTCAGATTATTAAGAAAAAACGAAGCCCATCATTTCAACCTGTCTTCATATGGCAGCTAAAAAAAAGACTATTTTCAGAGGGGCCTTGTGGAAAAAGAAGGCTGTGCTTCTAGTATGCCTTCTGGTCGGAAATCATAACACAGTAGTTAAGAGCTGGGCATTACTAGAGTCAGGCTTCTCTACTGACTACCTAAGTCATCTCAAGTTAGTCAGTCAACCTCTCAAAGGCTCCGCTTTCTCTTCTCTAAAGTGGAGAGACCTTTAGTACCGACATCAGAGGGTTAGTGAGAGAGCTAAGTGAAATAATTCTTTAGAATTGTCTAGAACAAGTCCCTGACGCATAGCAAACAAACACATGTGATTTATTCCTATTTTTGATGATGATGATGACAGGGATGCCATTTCTCTGATTAAAGTTTTTTTAAAAGTTTCAAGAGAAACTTCAGGATAAACAGAGGAACAAGAGCTGTGAGTATCTAATCAGAAGAAGAAAATATCCAGAGGCAGTGTTTGGAGAGTTTCCACAAAAACGTGGGGTCTAGAATTACGTGTTTGTTGAACCAGCACTGGTGGGAGGGCTATTCGGAAAGGTGGATCCTTTGTCAACATGCACGGAAGACGTTCTAACAGACAGAGCTGAACAGCCCCGGTGCGATGATCCATCACAAGCCTGGGTGGGTGAGTGCCACCCCAATGAGCAGAGGGTCCAAATGAGTGAGTCACTGCTCAGAAGGGCTCCTGTACGGAGGGGTATGATGCAAATACCAAAAGGTAGAGCAAACCAAATCAAGCAGTGAAGTCCTTCTAAACCAAGTCTCCAATTCTTTCAGAGTATGCATTATTGAGTCACTTTATCTGCATCACCATGTTCACTTCCAAAGCAAAATTTATTTTTAGCTGATCCCAATCCCCTACAGGCATCTAAGTCTATGGATTGGGGTTAAGTTTCTGTTGCTTAAAGAAATTCTACAGACTATACTCTCAGTTCTACTTTTCTAGCTTGCTCATCATTTTCTTTCTCCCCCTTTGTAGGGGATAAAATATTCTATTCTTAGTCCCAGCCCAAAAGGAATCTGGGGAGAGCATTTTTCAAAAATTGCATTAAATCATTTCTCCGTCTGGCAAGGATACAAAAGGCAGTATTACCTACCCCATGTAATTCAACTGAAAACAGATGAAGTTTGGGATTGGGGGGTTTCTGGGAACAGCTGAAACACAAAACTGGTTGCTCTTTAAAAATGGAAACCCAGAACCTGCCAAGCTGTCTCTGAGGCGGAATCTCCTGGGCAAATTTGAAAGAGAATAATGAAGACATAGCAATTAAAAAGCACTTTTCTGCAAAATGTCATTACTGTTTAAAATTACATAACCATTTCTCCAGCAGCGGAGTTTCACATAGCAGTCACCGGCAGTGTCGTCTCCCAATGACCTGTGTCCAACAAAGAGGCCCATTGCTGAGCACCTCCTACAAGGGCGCCTGAGTCCTGCTGGCTTCAGTGGGAGCCATAAATAATTTGGAGGGGGATTTGGCCTGGGGAACCACAGTTTGAAAGATATACAGCTGCCAGCTGGGGTGGAATCTTCTGTCCCCAGAGTTCCCAAAGATACACACACACACACACACACACACACACACACACTCTCACACACACGGAAAGGAAAACTGAGAAGATGAGAGAGAGAAAAAGGCCACCCTTGGTGCCAAGCATATAAATTTGGCCTCACAAAACCCAGGAAGGCAAGAGTTGAAAGTTCCATTTGCACAGCGACTTCCCCATGCTACACATATGGAATCTGCTCCCCCTGCCCAGTCTTGTTATACTTAAAAAAAAAAAATCTTGTTGTACTTTAAAATGGAATGTTCCGCTGTTCCACAGAGGGCACAATGTCGATGTGGGAACCCCCATGTCATCTGCCTTCTCTTTTCCTGATTTCTGCCCCATCTTCCTCAGTCCCCCCTCCTGCCTCACCTTCAACACGCACGTTGCACGATATCTTTTGTATTTTACGTTCAGTCTCTGTGTGCTGTCACATGAGAGGGTATCTCTATTTCACTGACCGTGTCCTCTTCTCTCCTAATTCTCTCTTCTTTTATTTCAGGACACACGGGCATCCTGCCCTTTTTCATTCCCTTTTTTGTTCCAGTCTTATTCTTTCTACAGTCTCTGCACTTGTCCTCCCCTGTGCCTAGAATATTCCTTTTCCAGATCTCTGCCTGGCCCCCTTGTCCTGCCATCCAGACTTGCCTAGACCACCCGAGTTAAAATGTCTTTTCTATTTGCTTCACAGAATTAGTTTCTGAATGAAATTACCTTATTCATTTGTCTTCATTTTTGTTCCATCACCCCCATTAGACAGTGGGCTTAAGGGGGACAGCCCACTGTCTAATGGGGGAGATGGGCTTTAGGGGGACAGAGGCTTATCTGTCCACGACAAGCCCCCAGAGTGTAACTTAAGACCAAGCCTGGTGGAGGTTTCAGACTCTCATTTGTTGAATGAAAAAAGCATCTCCTTTCTCATTCCAACTGAAGAGAAAGTTGTCCCTAAAACCTTTGAGGCCATTAGAATTGAGGACGTGTCCATAGCTCCACAACTGTAGTAAAAGACTCAGGACTTGAATCTGGGAATTCGGACTGAATTCTGAAACACTCGCAGTTCCTTCTGAGTCTCCAGTGGGTAAGTGTGGAAACTGAGATGAATGAGTGGCTTGGGGCCTCTGTGGTACCTATGGCACAGAGTGGCCTCTGGGAATGTCTTAGCCCCTCTGAAACTCAGTCTTCTTGCCTGTGAAGTTAAAAATCCCAATAACCACCTTCCAGGGCCGTTGAAAAGCGTAAATGAGGGGAGAAAAGGCATAAACAGCACTTTAGCAAGTACCTGACTCTTATGGGCTGAATGTTTGTGCCCCTCCCACCCCAATTTCGTATGTTGAAACCCTAACCCTGCTCCCCATTATGATGGCATTAAGAGGTGGGGCCTTTGGAAGATGATTAGGTTTAGATGAGGTCATGAAGGTGGGGTCTCCATGATGGGATTAGTGCCCTTATAGTAAGAGGAAGAGACGGGAAGGCATGCACGCTTGCGCTCTCTCTCTCTTCCGCCCTCTCTCTCTCTCCCTCTCCCCGTCCTTCCCTCCTTCCCTCCCTGAGCACACACTAAGAAAAGGCCACGTGAGCACACAGTGAGAAAGCAGCCAGGAATATGCCTTAATCGGACACCGAATCTGTCGCACCTTGACCTTAGACTTCCCAGCCTCCAGAATGGTAAGAAATAATGTCTATTGTTCAAGCCACCCAATCTATGGTATTTTGTTATAATTAAGTGTTCAATAAATGTTAGGTTCCTCCATTTACACCCTATTAGAACATAATCCATTACCTGGACCAAACTTGAGCCCTTCTTGGAAAAATCCTTCTTGAGTAACCCCATTTGGACTAGTAGGAAACATGCCAAGAGTGCATTTTGT